ACTTTTATTTTTCAGCTTGCATATTTTGGCTTTTTAGTAAAAAAAACTTATTAAATTCTCAGCATGAAATTTCTGCAAAGAATAATCGACATGAAATAAGTAAACACAATGAAAATTTCATTAAAAAATTTATTAAACAGTAATAAACCGATGTAAACCCCAATTTAATCGAAACGAAAAATGAAATTTCATAGAGAAAGTATTGAAATAACATCGATTATTTGATAAAATAACTGGCTATATAATTAATTAATTTATCATGAACTTTCGCAATTTATGCATTTTCACGCAAGTACTATTAATATTTAATTTATATACATTATTATAAAATGTTTACTGATGATATAATTTATGCAAATATGAATTGATTATTTAAATATTTCTAATAATTTGTAAGAAACAACAGGAAAAATGTATTCTAATTTACAAGAAACAATTTGTTTAACTTGTTTCTTAGAACCTTGCCTAAGGATGGCTTTCCCCTTTGGCTTCGATATTTTTAAAATATGTAGGTGCAGGAAAGAAATATTTACTCTAAAAATGATTAAATTAAAAAATAATTATGTCAAATTCATAAAATATGCTTTATGGATATGGACTTTATTGTTATTCTGGCAGATAATACCGATATTGAATAAATACGCAATTTGCGAAGGGTGGCTTGATTATATAACCAATGAGCCTGTACTATTAACAACGGTTTACGCAATAATGTACTTAACTTATTCCATATGCTTAACTTTTCTTTCGAAAAATGACAACAAACTCGATTTAGAAATTGATTTAAAAAATGAATACTTTCAACAAAAGATGATAGAAGAAAAAAATTCTTTACTTAGAACAATTTCCTTGTTGACAGTTTTTTGTACAATAATGGTTATTATTGCCTTTCAATTTTTGAATGTATATGTTTATTATCCCGGAGTCGAAAGAAAGAAGAAATTTGAAGGAGAAGCACTATTATGCACTATTCTGTATGTTCTAGGTGTCATACCTATAAATGGAGGATTTGCATTTGGTTTATTGTTAGTAGCTTTATTGTTGTTAATCGCGTATAAAGAATTTGAACATGTACTGTTTGAACTGTCGTTCAAACAGAATATTCCTAAGAATATTCACAAGAATATTCCTAATGAATTGAAAAAATTGATGCTTCGACAACAAGAATTATGGATATTCATCAATCAATTTAACACTAAACTTAGTTATCCATTTTTCGTTCTGTACTTTTCTGTTATGTGGATAATTAGCTTCTACTTTTACACATACCTATTTGCAGATGTGAATGATTCAATGCGTTTAGTCTCCTTACTAGAGTCCATAGTTTTTACCTTCGTGTTTACAATTCTGGGTTGTTTACTCTCTTGTTTCGCATTTTCGGTAAGTATTCGTGTTAGCAATGTCATTTTTTTTTTTTTCGAAAGCTAATATCTTACTTTTTAGATGCAGAATGGTTTTCAAGATATTCGTCAACTCGCAGATTGCAGTCTCAAATTGGAACAGAAACTCAAGGTATAGACTACAATTTTATCCATGAAGAGTTGGTAAAGTTATAATAACTTCTTACATGGTAAAATATAATAAATTATGTCTATATTTTTTATATGGTAAGAAATAATATATTTTAAAACCGGGTAATATTTATTACCATATAATTCAATAAATTATAATTGTTTACGAGTTTTCATTGTATTTGTTATTGAGATTATTGTTTATTTTGTTTTATAGATTTTAGATTTCATGAAACGATTTGGGAAAGTTTCCTTGTGTCTTTCAATCGGTGGTTTCTTTGTTGTGGATAAGAAAATTATTTTCAAGGTTATTTTATTTTATAATCATATAAAATATTTAATAAATTATTTACTCTTGAAATTTATAAAAATTTTTTTAACTTTTTAGATGGCGAGTACGTTGCATTCTATTCTGTCAGGACTTTTAAAGTTAAGGAAGGCATCGAAAGTGAACACAAATTGTAACAGAATATTGCTCTTGAAATTTATAAAAATTTTTTTAACTTTTTAGATGGCGAGTACGTTGCATTCTATTCTGTCAGGACTTTTAAAGTTAAGGAAGGCATCGAAAATGAACACAAATTGTAACAGAATATTATTATCGAATTTTACTGAATATAGCTAATATACACAATATGAAACTGCGTTATTACTATACATTTTACGACGAAAAAAACCTATCATTTGTGTAACAGTCATAATATAATATTTCTTTTGAACACGAAAGGCTGTGGTAGCCTTTATGTACAGTACAATCATCCGTAATATGAAGAGAGATACACCGTGCAATAAATTTATATTATAAAGTACAGTTTGTTATTTAATTTCAAAATTCACATTTTTTTATGTTTAAAACAGAAAGTGTAATGGTTACGTATCAAATAAAAATATAATATGATAGTGATGTAACGAATATTCGGTTACTATTCGGTATTCGGCCTATTCGGCCNCAAGGACCCGCTTCGCTGGGTTTTTATTTGTTCGTACATTTGTATGTAATATAGTTTTTATATATATATAAAAGACTGTTTTTCTAAGTAATCTAGAATCTAGTTGCAAGGACCCGCTTCGCTGGGTTTTTATTTGTGGGCAAAAACTAACGATAGTGAATATTAAGATAATTACATTATAGCCAATCTTACCCGTTTTCATAGAATGCAAGAATTAGGTCCCCGTTTCCAGACTAATTAGAGAATTTTTACGTTCAGTCAAACGAACTATCTTCAATTTGATAAATTTTCTGGAACGTTTACAATCGTTCTATAATCGAACCAATTCGAATTCGAATTTAAAACGGTTCGAACATTTTAAAATCGAAATAGAAAATCTTCCACTTTCAACCACTTTCAAGCCCATATCTCCCGCGCCCTTATAGCTATCGAGACGCAACTACCATAGTGCAAGAATGGAGACTTGGGGCTACTACCACATACAAACACCATTTATGGGCGATGTGTAATTTTGGCTGAAAAGTGAAATATAGGGACACACACGTCCATTTATATATATATATATATAAACGTAGTAAGAAAGTATATATTTTTCATTTTTGGGTGTCTTCAGAACGAATTAATTAATTAAGTACTGTATCTGTCTAATTTGTCGATTGAAAACAGCCGTACTCGTGGGCACTGAACTCCTCACAGTACCAATAGGAACAGTTCATATAGAATGAAAAAAATATGTAGGATTAAGGTACATTTATTTATCACAAATATTATTTTTATAATGGGATCACTCATTATAAAAATTATTTTTCTAACTAGTAAAAGAAAATTCAGTCAACATTCATTGATAAGATCAATAAGCATAATCGTCTTTGGTTCTGGTACTTATTTATTATGTTCACTAATTAATGTAACGATACTTATAAAATTTTTAATTATTTAGGCTACAGGCTCCTAATAACAACAATAATAATAAACTACTTAAATCACCCGGAATACAAATTTTAATTAAATCGCTGCTTACGATAATGTCTGAGCTATATCATTTTCAATGGACAGCAAGGCTAGATCAGAAAGCTTGTCTTCTGCAAGAGTCGACCTAAGGTACGTTTTAATTAGCTTAAGCTTGCTAAACCTCCGTTCACCTTTGGCCACCGTAACCGGAATAATTACAAATACAGAAGAGCGTCGTTTATCCGAATCAATTGGGGACTGGGATTTTTCGGATAACCGATTATATCCAAAAAAATATATTAACCTATCCCGTGTTTAAATTTTTCTCCGTTGCGTGTCGCTTCGCGTTGAATTTTCGTCGATGGTAAGCCTAACGTAAGCTTTTTAAAATAATAATCGTGGCTATTGTATCGTTAAAAATTATTTCTTTATTTTTTACAAACAAAATAAATATATTAAAAAATATAAAAACAAAAAAAAGTATACTGTACTTTATAAGTTGATCTAGTATCAAAAACGTTCGATTCAGCATAACACAGTCTTCAGAAAAACACCACACAAAAGAGACAGTGCTGCCAGCTAAAACACATACATAAACATAAAAAATATTTGAGTAGTCCAAGATATAGCCAAAGATTGCAGCGCCACAGCTCTAGCGAAAATTTAAATTTCCCGATTGGAATTCTTTCGGATAACCGACTTTCGGATAAACGACGCTCTACTGTATTAGGAAATGTATCTTGCCAAATATTTAATGCTAAGATCTGAAGGACTGCTTTCGGGTGACCTTTATCAATATCTAAAAACATTTTTAAACACATGATTTCTCTTGAAAGCTCCAATCCCGAAATATCGAAATTATGATCATGCGTTAGTTTTTCCTCCAACTTTATTCAAGCTTCTTTCAAATTTTTATCGGTCTTATTGAAATCATAGAGGAAAGACCAAGTCTCATTAATTGTAGTAAGTTGCGTGAAGCGTGTCTCTCTTGAGTTTATAGCAGTGTCTAACATAGGATAGAAAAGATTTGTTCTGAATAACGTTTCTGGAGCCATTGGCGCCTCATCTTCATTTGGGAACATTTTTTTTCGTGCGCGGATTGTTTCAAACTCCGGGCTTATTTCAGCTTCTTTAGCTATGTCCTTAGCTGCAATGAGAGCATTTGTTAATCCTTCGTCTGTATATTCTTTCAAAAATTTCAAACATTTATGCATCATTTTTGTTGCATCTGACAGGTCTACGCGCTCTGATTGCATGGATTTGTCGACAAGATTAACATGGAATAAAACGTCGTACCAAATGACTAACGACAGCAAAAACTCGAACTTCTCCAAATTGTGTGCAAACGATTTAGCTTCTGAACATGCCACGGGATCACTGTCGGTATTCTTCTTCCAATGTACTTTTTACTTCGGCGTACATCGCTTGCCAACTAAAACAGCGGCGCCTGCGGTGGCAACTCTGATGATGTAACCTAGGGGGGTGAAACCCCGCTCACGCACTCGACCCACGCGCGTCTCAACAGATAAGGCCATTCACATACTACCACACGCTTGCAATTAATTTAAAATATCGAAAAGTGAAAAAAATATTTTTTCCTTTAATTTTCTTTACCACTGAGGCGCTCCCTAGGGCTTAGCGCCTGGAGCGGTTGCTCCGTTCGCTTTATGGTAGGGCCTGGTCGTTTGATACAGGTAACTTATACGAAGACTCTATGGTTAAACTATACGGTGCCAGAAATTTTTGCCCGTTTTCACAGGTGTCCGTCGAATGCAAATGGTCGCATAAACCGTTTTCACTGTATTTTATTGCGAGTTTTCCGTAAAACGTCATGCAAATAATTAAATATGTTCATGTGTTTCGGCGATTTAAAATATGAAATAATAGCTCAAGTCGTTGCGATCAGAACTTTATGCATATTATTATTATTCTTTTATACTTCTATTCTAATAAGCATAAATTTGATATAAAATCATTATATAATACATCTGATCGTAAAAGTCAAGGTAAATTATCGCTGTTTAGACAGTTGATACTTCAGATGATATTTCCTCCTTTTAAATATGTTTGCTTTATTAATGAATATGGATGATTATCCTATTTTTGATAGAAATATTATGGCAAATTTCATACTAATCGGCAGATCAAAACAGATATAACTTTTAACAAATAGAAAATTTTCCCTAAATTAACACGTAAAGATCATTCATCGAATGGACATTGAAAAAAATATTCAGAGAAATAATCACTTTCCACAATTTTCTGATATTGTTCAGTTTTATATTCTTATAATAAATGAAAAATTATAGTAATTGAAAAAAATAAATTATAAATATATAAATGCGCCGCTTATAATTAGCGTTAATGAAGACATTATCGTAACGAACAAATATTTATTGTAACATCGTTACAACGCGGGGCAGCAATATTTTATTTATTTAATTTAAAATATATGTTTCCCACCTCACATTATTAGTGTCTTTGCTCCTTTACCCTGTGAACTGTTTATTTTGAAATTAAAACGTTCTTGTAAGAGTCATTTTGATCGCCTAATCCGTAGTTGTCGCCAGTATAAATTGTATGATTTGAACTTCGGCAGTACATTGATGATGAAACCATTCGATTTTATTTTACTATTTTATATGCTTTTGTTTATTCAGAACAATATTGATAAACATATAATAGAAACCACTTTCTAGTTTAAACATATGGACATTGCTATGGCATGCAAACATCATATCTATATTCGAACATTAAACTACGAGTAATTAATTTAGGTTTATGAAGTAGTGTTGCGGGAAACAATGCGTGGTTAATATTCAACACATGCTGTTTTACACCGCGCTAGTTGTTTTTCATTGTTTTATACAAAATATTGTTTATGCGTTTTTTTAGTTAAACAAAAAATAAATAACGAGTGTTTTTGTATCCTTTATTGTCCTAAAAATAATTATTAAAATTAATTCGATTATAATTTAAACTAAATTAATATCAGAATGTACACAAGCTCTTAATTCTGTGAAACGAAAGCCGTATTTCATTTTTCTAAACAATTGTTCAACAATAGCAAAAGATTTATTTATGATAAAGTCTTAAACATAAATGCAAATGCACTGATTCACTTGTTATTGGTTTATTTTTCCTTCTTTAATTATTAAAACATTTTTCATTTATTGTAAAAATACAAAAGTGAAATACATGAAAAAATTGTGCATTCAAAACGAATACTTTTATAAATATTTTAACGACGGATCGATCAGTCCACGAGTTTCTACTTAACGTGACATAGCAAAATGCAGGGCATTTTAGACACGACGGTTCATTAATCCGGCATCCTTCACCAGAATTCTCCAATAATCAGCACGTTAGTATTCCACAAATCGGAATTTGTTTAGACACATGGCGCATTAAAAATCCCGGGCAGGAAATAAGGCAAAGACGAGGGTGCACTAACACCCGTCACAGGGGCAATCGTGAGCATTGTCATTTTGCACGCGCCAATGCAACTGGTGGACAATACACCAGGGGAATGTCTCTTGGAAGGTTTTACGGGAAAAGCCGTCCCCATTTAGATGCCACATACACAAAGAAAACTAGGTGGCCAGCCTGGCACGAATCCAGGACCGAGTACCGGCGTCCAATGGTTCCGTCCGCTCGGCCACCAGACACCGGACAGAAATCGAGAGC